CTGTGCAAAGGATTGTGGGTAAGAACAGGCAGTAACGAAGCCTGCTTGCATACAGTAAAATGTGCCTGAATGTGACCAAGTGTTTTCATCTTAAAGTTCCTCACTTCAGGTTTTGTTTGGATGAAACTTGACTTGTTGACGTATAAAAACAAGTTGTGTTTCTCTGGACGTATTGTGGAAGTTTAACTTGTTGTCAAACATGAGTCTCTGACGCCTACAGGGGAAGACCCAGGACCAGGTGGAGAGATTATGTCTCTGCACTGGCCTGGGGACGCCTTGGATCCCCAGTCAGAGCTGGTAGATGTGGGAAAGGGAGGTTTGGGGTCCCCTGCTGGAGCTGTTGCCCCCGCGACCCGACCCCGGATAACCGGCTGAAGATGGACGGATATATTCCAATATCTGGTTGCGCATTAGGCGCGTCAATAACAGGACAAATGTAGACAACAAGACATGACTACTTGTACAGGTAATTGTTTTAAGTTTAAACCTATTTAACAACATATTACCTGCACAAAAATAAGTAAATTAACTAAACGGCAAAGACTGCAGATCTCTTGCTCGCACACACGTGATCTCTGCTCAAAGCGATTTAAATGAACGACAACAACAAACTGATGCTGAGTGCTGATCAAGTGTTTTGTGCAAGCAAATAAATGTCGCGATTCTTGTCCCACATACGGCTTCATTCGGTGATTGAAACTGAACGTTTTACGTACCGACATTGAGCGCTTCGAGCGAGCTGTGCTGTAAACACGGAACTTTTCTTTGGCAGCTAACTAGCAAGAAATACCGAAACCTTTGACCAGAAAAAGAAAGTTCCTTTGTCTAATTAATCATATGATGATCAGCTAATAATACAGTATGCTTCTCTAAAAACTACAATTCACAGCTTTGTGGTGGAACTAAAAATCATTTGATAATTCATTAGATAGGGAATAATAAATGACGATAAAAAGGAGAGGAAAGGAGATTATTAAATAGTAAAATGATTTCAGTCCAATTATACAGATGAATCATTTTATTAACAGCGTAATCCAGACTTACCTGTGATCAGTGCATCTCTTTGAGCATCATAGAGCATTCAGAGGGTGAAAGGTCGACCCAGGGAAGCAACTTCCATTTGATTTGACACCAACCTGAAGAGAACAGATTTATATATTACAGTTAGGGGTGTAACGATTCATCCACTGAATCGATTAATATTCCTGCGATCCAACTGAATCGATCTGTGCTCCGCAAATCGGCATTCCGGACGACATATATCGATTACAAATTGATTGAAATGGTACATAATCGATTGTATCGATACTTGGACCCCCATGCAGTATAGTCAATACAGGTCGCGGTGTTGTTGCGAGGATAACATGATATGCAAAATGGATATTATATGACTTTTTAAGGACGAAGGACTATTAAGGGTTTAGATAGAAAAAGGGGACGCATAATTACGTGTCTAATACTAAAAAGACCAAATACTTTGATGAAATAGTTACTAATATATACATATACAGAAAAAAACTTAACAGTCAAGAACTGTATTAAAATGGATTGACGCGGTGACGTCATCAAGTCAAAAGCTGAGTCAGGATTCCCGAGTTTATTCTCGCGAGAACGCAAGTCGGTTTTCTGCGCAGTTATTGAGAAAGGGCCACATTTACGAAAATGTATTACAAGGAGAGATAAACGCCGGTTGTTTTTGAGGGAAACGAGATAACGCACATTTCCGTTTGTTCGTTTTTGGTTTAAAACGAAAAACGAACAAACGACGTTATTTCTGCGTTTCCGTATTTCCGGTTAAACGGTAAAAGCAAAGTTCAAACGGTTCACCGCCCGTTAACACACAAACACACACTGAACACACACTGTGTATCACGGACACACTCACAGGATGTTTCTTTAAGATGTTAAAGTTGAACTAGAGACTTTCTGCGACGCTCCTTCTTTTCCTGCTTTTCCTTTTCCTCCTCTTCTTCTTCTTCTTCTTCTTCTTCGTCTTGTTTTAACTTGGTCGGCGGTAGATGATCAATAATCGGCGCGTTACCGCCACCAGCCGGTGCGGAGTGTGGATCACATGTCTGGTTAGTAACGCGAATGAATGTGACATCTTAGTAATTCTGGATAACACGCACTGTTTCCTTTGCATAATGTCCACATGTCCATCCGTCCCTTCGTCCTCAGAGGTCTTCATCCGCGTCCCTCTTTCTGCTCACGTTTGTCTTTCCTCCCTCCTGTTTCCTCCTTCCTGTTTCCTCTCTCCTCACATGAGTTCTCTTTACAGTTAGTCTATAATGACACTAAATGTAACGCTATTTCTTATGAAGTAATATTTCATGTTGGTAACTTTGATCCATGTCTGTTCATAATATGATGTATAAACTTCGTATAAAGTGTGAAAGTTAAGGCATTATAATGCAAAGATAATTAAAATGATAACAAAAATATTAGTGATATAGATACATATTATTGATATTTTCCTACATGTTTCTGTCCTTCATAATGAACATTGAATACGTTTTATAGTAACATGTTACTGTTGCTGAGATAATTTTTTTATTAAAACTTAAAGTAACTTAAAGTGACTTTTGTGTTAAATGATTAACGCATTGTTTGTATCTCGTTAGTGAAGTATCATCTTAAATAAACAGATGATGAGACATGAACACATTAATATAATAATATACAGCAGCTCTTCCTCCACCTGCAGTAACATCTGTCCTCCAGCAGGAGGAGGCACCTCTCCACACACCTCCTCCACTCCTTTCCTTTCCTCTCTCCTTTCCTCTTTGCTCTCCTTTACTCACTCCTCACTCCTTTCCTCTTTCCTCTCTCCTTTCCTCTCCCTCCCAACTGTTAATCAGTTATTTATTTATTTACTCCTTCACTGAACGAGGTTTATCTTTGTATCTATTCCTTTGTCATCATTTTTATAATTCATATTTAGTTTCATTTTAAATCTTTGTTACTTGATTTGCAACAATTACAATCAATCTTATAGAGTGAAGTATAAAATAATAATAAAAATAATAATACATTCAAGGTTTTCTTACTTTAAGTTGTTACATTAAAAAGGTCTTTCTATTATTCATGAACATGTATAATATTGAAATAGTTTTATTTTGCCAATAAATCCTCATTGAATTGACTTTATTTGAATATCGATGATATTTATTCTGTTTTTATATTTCTGGTGTCTAATTAAAGGAGCAGAAAGGAGGCAACGCGAGACCAACGGGACTCGGGGCGTAACCTCGCGATACCCCCCCCCCCCCCCCCCTCTCTCTCTCCGGGGGGGGAAGGGATCCGCCGGTTCATCCCAGCAACACACCGACCCGCGCACAAACTCTCCGGTAAACTTCTCCCCGCCTCCTTTATTTCTCCGAAAAGAAATAAGAGAAGTCCAATTTTATTCTATTTAAAGAACACCTGGAGCGCGCGAGAACAGAGAGAGGGCGACTTTTTATTTTTGAAAGCGCGGCGTTTGTTCCTGGTAATCACACCACCTGAACCGGAAGGGACCGGAGGAGAACTTTCCCGGATCCCCGGAGAAAACACCAGAGCCTCCGGAGATTAACCCAGTCAGAAGGAACGGAAAAACGGGAGGACCCTGGAAACTCCTTCATGATCCTCCTCATCATCTCATTATCATCGGGTCCGCTTGGAGGAA